AAAGAGTGTAAGCGGGTAATTCATTAAGCCTCTCTTCTGAAAACCAGCTCCTGGTATTTGTGGTATTTTATTTAGTTTTTATAGTTTGATGTGCTTTATTTTTATCTTCATCTCTGTGTGAAAATCACTACCCAAAACCTTAATACACCTGATAGTTTGCATTCAGTGGACAGCACAAGGATGTTTTTAGGCATTTATCTACCATTGCCACCAGCACTATTAAGTGTATTTTTCTAAAATGTTTGTTTCCAAATATTCCAAGGCATCACTTGATATAGGACACTATCAGAATTTTGAAAGGTATGCCTGTATTTTGGCATTATGTCCAGCACTTAGTATGAGTTTGGGATCTATTTTGTTCTGTAAGACATGCATGAAAGAATATTGATTCCTGACCACTTTCTTCACTACCACTCTTCCCCTATCTCCAAGAAGAGAAATCTGTACATTTATTAATAACTTGGGGAAGCATGGAACAATAAGATTAAACTCTGATACAAAGGAGATATACTGGAAAAAGCTGAATATGCCTTTAGTCCATTGTCAGTTAGATGGAACTGAAATACCATATGATTTTTTCAGTTTCAGTGGGGCTTTGTCCAGACGTTAAGACAAAGTGTGAGCCTGGATGTGAACACACCTGAACATCTTTCAGACCATCCAGTAAGTCATTCTCTGTTTTGAATACAGTGACAAATTCTTAAGGACCTGTCACTTTCATTGAGGCAGTCATCAACCACAGTAAGTGTGACGAATCACTGTGCATTATGTTTAATTATGTATTTGCAAAATTGGCCTTGGTTAACCAGTCACGTTTTGTACACACCTCTAGGTTTTCAATGTATATTTTAAATCTCTTTTTGGTTTGCCACTGTTTGTCAGTAGACATGCTGATAGTTTTTCTCAGCACCTTCATGTTTTTATTCCTTTCTTTTGCTGTGTGCTTCAACCAAACATCCTTTTTTTCCTTTTCGTCACTTGTCATTCTCCCTTCTCTGTTTCTGAATAAATTACCAGAGCAGGAATAGCTGCAGGGAAACTTTTTATTTAAAGAAATGTAACACGATTGAAATAAATAAATTACTGCTTTAGGTAGTTTCCTTTGAAAATGGCAAAGTTCTCTGTCTTAAATTTTAGAGTCTTTTGCCAGCTTCCCCATAATTTCACTTTGACTTTTCTATTGGAAACGCATATATGTAATTTAATGCTGAAGTTTTAAATCACAAATATTTTGCAAGAAGTAAAAACCCGTGTCTTACCTGCAGTGGAGTGACCGACTGTTCCATGTGCTCTGCAAGGAGGGACTGAGAGACTTTTGCTGTTAGTAAAGGAGTCCCTGGCCAGTATCAGACCAGCACTTCATGTCATTTAGTAACTCTTTTCATCAGTCTTCTCAGATTTCTTCCTGGAAAACAAAAAGACCTGTTTTCTGTTAGAACATGGATGCCTTTGCAGACCTTTCAGTAAAAGAGAGATAAAAGTAACTGCCACAAAGGAAGATAATGATTTTTTTAATAATTCTTGTTATAAACAGAAACAGTACCTGAGGTTTTCCACCTGAGCTGGCCCTAATAATGGCACAATCCAAGTGCTTCCTTGCACAAAGGATTAATCATCAGGCATTAACTCTTTTTTTGCCATATAAAGTAGCAGATATTTATTGATATTTGGAACTATATTTAGCTTATATAGACTATATGGTTCTAGGACTCAGAGTATGTAAAGACCAGAAAGGGGATCTATAAAGTACAGAGAAGCATTCCAAAAAAGGACTAAAAATGCCAGTGCTTTGATTCTGTAGTCAGATTGGCCCATCTGAAACTACACTGCCCATTGGTTTTGTTCATGGGTCACCTGTTGTCCAAACCATTACTGTCCTGTGCTTCTCTGCTGAATGTTGTAAAGCTCCCTCTCAGCCCTGGTGGGGAAGGACAGTGTCCTGGGTCAGGCTGAAGCTTAGCCATTGATGCTGTTTGAACAGAGCTGTGGGAGACAACTTGTGGCAGTTGCAATGTCCCAGCCAAGGCTCATACCTGTCTTTGATCACTTCTCCTGTTCTGTGCTCTGTTCCTGGTAGTTAAGCCAGTAGGATCAGGGAGGCACACATCCCTCAAGTAAATGCAGACTAGACAAGAGGGTACAGTTGGGTGTCCTCCCTTTTCCAAGTAGATCGTGGGAGAGAAGGGCGAGAGATTTCCTGAGGCCCAGACATGGCAAAGCAACACTCCCTGATGCTGCCATGATGATGCAGAAGTACGCGGTGAACACCAGCATGGGCCCAGCCTGTCTCAGGCCTGGGAAGAGACCAGTGCTAACTGTGTGAAGCACTTCTCTGCTACAAGTCAAACATGTCAGCTTACATCATCTGTGATTTAGGCTGCCTGACAGAGCAGCTGAAGGATGGCAGCTGCCAGCTGAGAAGTGAGACCAAAGCCTGCACTTTCTCAGGAGAGCTATGAACCTACCTATGTCCTCCTGTGAACATCAATAAGCTTATTTAATCAAATGTGCAGTATAATCCCAGGCAATGTCAGCCTTACTCATCACTGCTGAAGTCAGTGGAGCTCTGTGTCTGTCTTTTGCTCTATGTGAGTAAACTGAATTGCAGATCTGTGTTAAAATTGTCTTTACCTCCTTCTTCCTTAGATAAAAGTACATGTTTTCCCTTTATTAAAGCAGCCTGAAGGTAACATTTTACCTAAACTAAGTATTTGGATAATGCCAGAATATGTCACTTTAACTCTACTAGAGAATAAAAGATAAAAAATACAAATGTAATGAATAATAATGAAATCTAAGCACTTGGAAAAAAAAAATCAAAGCCAATCTTTCTGACATTATTGAAATACTGCACACACTTTCTCCTTTAAAATTTCCTTGAAATCAAAGCATTCTCGAAAAATATCTTGAGTCCAACAAAAGAAAATTGTTTTTGAGAGAAATGCTTCATCAAAAACAGCTATTAGTGGTTATATTTTGGTTTGGAGCAATATATTAAGTGTTTAATGAATGTGACCTTCTCCAAGATTTGGGACAGCTGGGTCCAAGATTCGGGTTTCAGTCCCATACCAGCAGCATGGTAAAAAGAGGTGAAATATTACTGTTTCTGTTCCTGGGACTTTGTGGAAACCATTTGTTAAACCCTTGTCTCAAAGGGGCTGCCAGGCCCTGAGATTCTCTCAAAGCTTGGCTTCAAACTAGTTCTAGCAAAACCTCTTCACGAAGGTCAGAATCTGTGTGTTCAAACAAAGAGCAACAGAAGTCTTAGCCAGATTAGATTTATACAAATATAAATCTACTGGCATACATGTAAACTTGAGCCAAGGTTTATGACAAAAGGCACAATGTTTAGCAAACACTCAGTGAATGCTGATTTATGTCAGAACTTGAAACTAGGCAAAGGGGATGGAGTTTCAAGGTTGTGATGAATTTTATACAGCTGGATACTTAGGAAAAGTCTTCCATGTGGGTTATCATTCATCTTACCTAGTTATTATGTACTAAAATTCAACTCTGCCTGTCTGCACTAGGATTAAAAAATATATGCTGTTTTAAAAGCACCCAGTTTACTCCTAGCTAGGCAGAGCTACACAAGAAAATTCTG